CTCCGCGTGACACCCCGCCCCCCCCCCCGCTCCCCACAGTGTCAGGAGCGGGGAACACCAGTGGGGGGGACAGGGGGCTGCCAAGCCTGCCCCACCAAACCTAACAGGCTGTGCCCAGGTTGGGGGGTATCCCAGAGCTGCAGGGGGCTCCAGGCCTCCCTGGATTGGGCCCATCGGCACATGGGTTTCCCACTGCTGCAGAGGGGCACGCAGGCTGGGAGGGGGCAGAGCAGGAGGACTTCCCTGGTCAGGGTCCCCTGCCTTGAGGGTCTGTAGCCCAACATGCTCTAGGCTGCAGGGGCTGCTTTAGGAACTCCCTCCTGGGGTGCTGCACAGCACAGCCTGGTGGGAAGAGTCCAGAGCACCCAACACCTGCAGGAGCCATGGTGGGGGGGTGGCCCAGGCAGGGATAGGAGGCTGCGGGTCAGGAGCAAGGAGCACTGGCAAGGCCAAGGGTGGACAGAAACCAGCAGCTCCTCATGAGTTTGCAGAGCTGGCTGAAGGAGGGCTGAACCTGCCCAGCCTTGCGGCTCCTAGCTAGGCAGAGGATAAGGGAGGTGGGTTTCCATGGTGCCCTTCCCTACAGCACCCAATTCCTAGAGCCCATCTCCACCTCCAAGACAGGTGTCCCCCCCTCCCCCAGACCCTGCCCGGTGCCACACCCACCTGTAGCTCATGCCGTGTGTCCCAGGCTGGGCCAGGAGCTGGGCCGAGCGCCCAGAGGGCTCGGGTGGGAGTTCACTGCCCCGGCGCAGCCCCGCTCCTGGCCCAGGCATGGTGCCAGCCCCCTGGCTGCGGCGTCGGAGGCTCTCGGTGCGCCCACCCCGGCCCTTCTTGGCAGTCGGGAGCCCATCGATGCTGAGCCGCGCCCCACGCCCCGCCGTGAGCATCGCGCTGGATGCCTGGGTCCCTCTGGGACAGCGCCTGCCCACAGCTGCCGCAGCTTGTGGCTGCAGCAGGGAGGAGGGCACCCGCACCCCATTCCCAGGCCCATGCCCCCATCTCCATAGTAACTGGAAGAGTTAAGCTGCTTAAAGAAGGCAAGTGCTGAGGACCTGGCCCATG